AAAGATTTATTGGTGAATTTAAAGATTTTGTAGAGATTGAGGCATACCTACCACAACAAGTGTTTAATTGTGATGAGACAGGGCTATTCTGGAAAAGATTGCCGAAGAAACCATATATTACCAAGGAGGAGAAGTCATTGCCCGGACACAAGCCTATGAAAGATAGGTTTACTGGTGTGGTAATGCGAGTGGCAATTTGAAAATTAAACCCTTGCTTGTGTATCATTCCGAAAATCCAAATTGTTTTCAAAAAATATAATGCGCAGAAAAACAAAATGGATGTGATGTGGAGGGCTAATGCTAAGGCATGGGTGACTAGGCAATTTTTTATCGAGTGGGTGAATGAGGTTGTGTGCTCTGCCATCAAAAAATATCTGCAGAACAGTTTGCCACTCAAGGCCCTGCTTCTCCTCGACAATGCTCCTGCTCATCCTCCAGGCTTGGAGGATTCATTGTTGGGGGAATTTAGTTTTGTTACAGTAAAGTTCCTTCCTCCCAACACCACTCCTTATTTAGCCTATGGACCAGAAAATCATTTCCAATTTTAAGAAACTTTATGAAATGGCACTTTTTGAGAAATGTGTCAAAGTGACTGTTGCCACAAACCTCACCCTCAGAGAATTCTGGAAAAACCATTTTAACATTTGTAGTGCTTTAAAACTCGTAGACAAAGCCTGGCAAGAAGTTACTCTAAGAACCATGATGTCTGGCTGGAGAAAATTGTGGCCTGAATGTGTTGCAGAACGAGACTTTGAGGGGTTTGAGCCTGAACCTGAAGTGCCTCTTGTTGAGGAAATTGTTTCTCTGGGCCGGCAATTGGGCTTGGAGTTGGATGGTGCTGATATTGAGGAGTTGGTGGAGGAACACAGCGAAGAACTGACCAGCAAAGAACTCCAAGCCCTTCAAAAGGAGCAGCAACAAGAGGTAGCAGAGGAAATTTCTTCAGGGGAGGAGGCGGCAGTACAGAATGTCCCTTCCTCAAAAATTAAGAAAATGTGTGCAGCATGGGAAGAACTGCAAACTTTTGCTGAAACGACTCGCCCAAATCAAGCTGCAGTAGGCCGTTGCCATAACCTTTTCAATGACACTGTGATGCCTCACTACAGACAAATGTTAAAACGAAGGGAAAAACAAGTGTCTCTAGATAAATTTTTAGTGAGACAAACAAGCAGTGAACCACAACCAGGTCTTAGTGGTATGCAGGCAAAACATAAGAGAGAGTACCTTAGAGAAGTCATCACTGCCTGATGTTATAATGGAAGGGGACTCCCCTTCCAAACAGTAACACCTCTCCTTCTCCCACCTCATCATCTTCCATACGCCATCAAGAGTCCTCCATAAAGGTAAGATAAACATATGTACTGTATTGTAGTCAGAGAAAAAAATTGTATTCAGTATAAAATGTATTTTTAAGTTAATATTTTTGGGAGTGTGGAATGGATTAATTCAATTCCCTTTACTTTATTTCTTATGGGAAAAATCGTTTCGACTTACGATATGTCTCTGGGAACGGATTACCATCGTAAATCGAGGCCCCACTGTATGCACTTCAATGAGCTTGTGGTCCGAGTACGTAGTGTCTGAGACAGTAATGTCTCTGATTAGCTCATCATTGTTCGTGAATATCGGGTCCAGCGTGTTTTCGTTCCTAGTTGGTTCTGTAATCTGCTGACTGAGCGAGAATTTGTCACAATCTCAATAGTTCTCTGACCTGTGGTTGGTTATTTCCAGGTTGATTTCCTGTTGTAATGTTATTGTTTGCTATTCTCCATTTTAAACTGGGTAGAGTGAAGTCTCCAAGGAAGATAATATCTGGTACTGGGTTTGCTAGGTTATCAAGGATATTCTCTATTTTGTGGATCTGTTCAGTGAATTCTTCAACTGTTGCATCTGGCGGTTTGTATATTAAAATAATAAGTAGATTAATATTTTCTACCTTGATTCCAAGTACCTCTACCACCTCATTGGATGAGTTTAGGAGCTCTGTGCATGCCAGCTCCTCTTAAATATACAGACCTACTCCTCCACTTGATCTAATTGCTGTCACATCTATATAGATTATAATTCGGAATCCAGATTTCACTATCCATGTGGTCTTTTGTGTGGGTTTCTGTAAATGCACCAAATATTGAGTTCGATTCTATTAGGAGACAATTTATGAACTTAACTATTTCTTGATTTTGATTTCATGCCTTGTATGTTTGCAAATATGAATGATTTCCCACATTGCGTGTCACTTCTGGTGGGCTTTGGTAGTTCTCCCCACACTCTACCCAGGTCCAGGGTGTGTTGTTTTGGAAGTGGTTCATCCAGTTTTGGTAGTAGGACGGGTGTTGTGTGGTGTAGTACCTGTGTGCTTGTTAATTTGTATTCCAGTCTTGTGGGTATCTCCCTTCCCCTCTGTAATCCTGTAGTGGTTCCATCTGACTGTTCCTCTCTTATATTTTCTACTCTGTTTCTGCCTTCCTCTAAAAAATTTCCAGTAGTATCATATTGATCTTCCCATCTATAACGCTGTGTACCTCTCACGGGGAATTCCGGACAATGAAGATTGTAGCATTTTTTGTCCCCAATTGAAAATTGACATAATTTAGGGTGGAAGTATCTACACCCCGTTCCAAAACGGCATGTACCCCTCGCCAACATGTTCCTGCATTTTCGAGGATGCAGAAAATTGCATTTTGTTCCTAATTTCCCATATTTACATATTCCTTGAGCGTAGAATTTCTTACATTTTTCAAGGTATTTAAACCTGTGCCTGTCTTGTCTACCTCTTTATTGGAGCCATCTCCATCTTTCGTCCCAATTCCTTCATTTATGCACTCTGTCTCACTGTTGCTCTCATTGTTTATATTACCTGGCTCTGCAATATTGCTGTTATTTTGTACCACAATACCCTCTTCCTCCACATTACTGCTGCGGTTCTCTAAACTACCTGTTCCTGAGTTTTGGTCTTTATCCAGTGTTTTCTTTTCCCAGTCCGCATATATCACTGGTAGCTTTTCTGTGAATGATAATCTCTGTGACTCGGGAATGTTTTTCATCAGTTTAGTTATGTTCTCCCACATTAACCTGTCATCTTTGCAAACCCAGTAAATTCCTTGCCTGTTTGTGCATCCTGGAGATAATTCTGCACAGCCCAGGTGAAATCTTATGTTACAGATGCAACACTTGACGCCTACAGTACGTCTTCCCAATACTTCCAAACACTTGCCACACATCTCCATTGTCTAATGTATTGTATTTGTGCTTCACTGTATGGATCACTTGTTGATTTCAGCAATTTTACTCTTTTTAATATCATATGTATATATTTATAATATTATACGAATACCGTATATTTGTAATATTATGTATGTTATTTTGTTCAAACTTTATAGCAGGTACTTAGCGTAGGGTAACAAAGATGGTCCCGGTGCGGTATAGTTGACCCCTTGTTGTCCCAGGTTGATGCCACCAGTTTCCAGTTACTCGATTTATAACATTTATTATTTGCCTGTATGTATTTGCTTCTGCTTAATTTCCAGCTTGCAATGGTATTCACTCACTTCATTACTAATTCCTAGATCCACATTTCCATATTACACTATATATTGTCCGTATATTATCACTGAGGGACGTGCCTTGGGGTAGGCCTGGTGGCTTGTGTAAACACAGCCTAGCTGATGCCGTCTCTTGTCACTATTCTATATTTCTAATATTCTATATTTATAATATTCTATGCACGATTCTCCTACACTTCCAACTTATATGTACGTTGTGATACCCGTTCCACTTCACTATTCCACGAATCACCGTTCACTATTTTTTCCTTATATCGCCTACACGCATGTACACAAAGCCAGAAAGTGAGGGGATGAAGTATGGGGGAGTGAGGGAGTGGGGGGATGAAGTATGGGGGAGTGAGGGAGTGGGGGGATGAAGTATGGGGGAGTGAGGGAGTAGGGGGATGAAGTATGGAGGAGTAAGGGGGAATGAAGTATGGGGGAGTGAGAGAGTGAAGGGATGAAGTATGAGGGAGTGGGGGGGATGAAGTATGGGGTAATGAGGGAGTAGTGGAGTAGATATCAAGTAGTGAGAGTGGGGGAGTAGATGTCAAATAATGAGAGAGTAGGGGGGCAGAGGAATAGGATATACCCAGGAGGGGTATGATGCAGGGACAATGGAGAAGACTTATGTTATGAGTGGGGAGGAGGTAAAGAATTATGATGAATGATTGGCAAGGAAGTATGGAATAGAAAGCAGACAGAGGATAAGTATGGGTTAGAAGGGAAGGGGTATGTGATAGGAGACAATGAGTATGGGATGGAGTGGGTATGAGATGGGAGGTAGAAGGTGCAGGATGGGAGGATGGTGTATGGGTTGGGATGGAAGAGAGAATTGAATAGGAAAGATGATTATGGGTTAGAAGTGGAGAAGGATATAGTATGGGAGGGAATGGTATAGGATGGAAAATACGGAGGTATAAGTGAAAAAGAAATACAAGGCATGAGGAGATAAAATTTTACGAGTGATTGGTGTGTGGGGGAGGGAAGGTGGTGTAGTGCAGGGGTTACAAGAGATATGTACGTGTATTGTGTGTTGTGTAATGTGCATGTGTGTGCACACAGACAGCTATAAGCATGCACACACACACACACACACACAAGCATATATCCTTTACAGCATATACTATACTCTATTGGAAGAACAGAGTACATATTTTCTTTACATCATCCTAAGATTTTACTGAATATCCAATATCTTAAATTTTACTTTGTCAGGAATTGTTAATCTAAAAAAAATGGATACGACATAATCTCATTCTTTTTCTATCCGAGATGTCACCTTTATGGAAATTTAAACTTGTATAGCTGACAGTGTATTATAATAAAATTGTTGTTAACGAAATAGAACAATAGCTGGTGAACATCTCTCAAAAAGTGAAATCTTAAATGGCAATTCATGTGAAAATTGCCAAACAAGATTTCACACTTTATAATTTCTGGTTAACAACTTACCCGGCGGCGATGGTGGGATACGCGGCAACTGCTGCTGGCTGGGCGGCTGCTGCAGCCACTCCATAAGCCCGTGCCGCAGCAGCTGTGTAGGCATTTGCTGCAGCTGCATATCCTGCCTGTTGGGCCGTTGAGACAGAAAGTGTTGGTGTTTTAAGGAGCTGAGCAGCCGAGGCCCCCACGGCGGCAGGGTTGACCGCACCAACGGCAGCAGCAGGCTGGCCCACCGCTGCTGCTGCGGCTGCAGCTGCTTGCTGTAATGAAAGGGGGTGGCTCCTTATTCATGCACCACACACAGCCAGAGCAAGCAACATAATGCAACACTACACCACTGCTAGCAAGGACAGCCTTTACATCAAGACGCAACTAAGAATATTCCATTACCACAGTCCAACACTAACACACTAAAAGTTACTCTTTATCTTGGCCACTAAACAAGCAGCCCTGTAATAAAGATGTCAAAAATAAATATAAAATTTTCAAGATGATGAGTTTTAATAGGTTAGTTAATGCAATGTGATAAAATCTATACAAAAAACTGTAGAGAAATTGCCTTAGTCTGTAATAGGGCAGGAAAATTCATGTAGGCTAATGACCATATTGTAAAAATCAAATATCAAAAGTGAAAAAATGTACTTTAACACTGTGCTGCCTCACCATAATTACACATTATGAGAGATTAGTAAAACAACCGATTTATAAATAACTCAAATTTATATCAAAAGAGAAAAGGAAAGTAAATAGGGCAAAAACAAGAAGCATAGATCCAAAGTCCTTGTGTACTATGTCTGAAGTACATATATTGGTTGACATGTCATCCCAAAATCTATGACTTCTCAAAAATTAAGTTCTCAAAATAGCCATCAAGAGAACTCTCATAAATCATGACAAAACATGTCTATGTCAAGATACTTTCTGGGAATGATTTACTACAAAGACTAAAATCCAATTGGAATTTGAATTTATTTTAGGCATCATTGGAAAGCGATCCCTTAAAACTTCCAAGAGCTACACACCACAACCAACCAACCGAGGCATCAACTAAAATAGACAATACTGTAGTGAGTATGATATCAAAACACGTGTTTCAAAGGGTTGACAAAAAAAATAAAAATATCTCTAATTATGCATATTTCTTTATCTTTCAACTACTAATTCTTCTTTACTTGGAAACATGCAGTGGTTCAGGATATACCTTCAAAGAAGGAAGAATACTTTTTCTTTTTTGAATACTTAGAATTTCATATTCCCTGGTTGCTTTTATTACTTGCACCTATTAACTTTGTCTCTGCTCAACTGTCATATTCTAATACATAACATTTTTCATTAACACCAATGTTTGGTCTCGAGTTCTCCAGGGCTGTAGTCGATAACACAACTCATCACGTATATTTACTCGCTCAAATTAATTTTTTCTCTCTCTCTCCATGCTCATCTCTAGTTCTTCGAAATCACACTATTCTTACTGATGGTGCCTCTTCATTTATCTTGATAATACTATTTGAGTATTCCTTGGGTCTGTCGTACCTCCTGCCATTTTGTTCTCTTAAGTGAAGCCAGTCATGTCTATGATAATGAACACGCTAATGAACCTACCTTATACTAGCTCACTTAACACTAATTTTACCTTATCTAATCTTCAGTAGCACACCACCCTAAGTTTTACTTATAACTGTGTGATTTCACCAAAAAAAAAGGTGTACAAACTATTGGCAGGTTTACTTCAAATATTTCATTAATTTTTAACTTCCAACTAATCATGGGACATTCAATTTATGTATAAATAAAATCTGCCTTTTAATTATTCTAGAAGCAATTTCTTCTTTGCTAATTAACTCCTTTAAATTTTTAAGCATCTTCATATATATACATATAAACATCCTCAGGAGTATATCCTCATATGGGCAAGTTCTCACCAATTACTTTATTACAACCTAAGGCATCTAATTTGGAAATTTTCAGCTTTTGTAAGGTTGCTTTTTATGTCCCTTTTTCAATATTGTCATGGCTTGTGTTTTTTGCAACAAGCAGCAGTAATTCCTAAGGTCAGTTTATATGCAACCAGAGAAAATCAGTTGTGTTCTTTTTTTACACATGACATTTCACTTTGCTCTGTCCATGCTTAGTCTTTGAGAAAAAAATAAAAAAAATTGTGGTGCTCATGCAAACATTATCCAGAGAAAAACACCAAGTAAAAATATAAAGCACATAAAGCTTCCAGAAAGCAGCATCACCATAATATAGTATGCTGAATGGCATAGCACAATAGACTTTTGATGTTCTAATCATGGCTTCATAAAAAAAATTATGGTCATCAGCCTATGTGTGACTAGTGGTTGACAAATTTACAAAAGTTTTAGGTTTTAATCATTATCTTCACTTTAGCTTGTAATCACTAGTATCATGAGCATCACAACATTCATCAATCCACTATAAATCATCACAATCATTAAATTTCTGAATAACTACCATCAATCACTACCATCAAAATATCAGATGTAATCCTAACCAAATCTAATTTCTGGCATAAGCTAAAACACCTCAATGAGATACGTTGAATACAAAGATATCACAACCTTGGGTGTCAGTTTGAGACGTGAAGTATGATGCATGGGTCTGAGCTGTGACGCCATCTGCGGCAGCATGTGACCCAACATGGGGTGCCAGTTTGGAACGTGTAGCATGGTGTATGGGTCTGAGCTGTGCTGCCTTCCTTGGCAGCTAGTGACCCAACCAGGTGTGCCAGTTTGACACGTGTAGTATGGTGTATGGGTCTGAGCTGTGCCGCCTTCTGCAACAGCATGTGGCCCAACCTGAGGTGTCAGTTTGACCCTTATAGTATGGCATCAATTCAAATTGGAGGGCAATCAGAAATTTTAAAGGAAATAATTTAAACACACAGGTAAGTCTGGGGGTACTTGGCATTGGAATGATATTAGAATAGAATGAATCTTTGACCTGCAGACAAGTGATTCAAAAGTAGTTCACAAATAATGAATATTTTTTACTAGGAACGTTTGATTCTACATACAGTATTAATAGTCACAATGTGAGTCTACTGTATAAAAATTTCAGGATTGAAATATAAATCAGATGAGGCTAGTCTTAAAAACAACAACCAGGGAGAATTTAACACAATATAGTGCCGAGTCATAAATATGCCAAACTGGAGTTCAGTTGATTGACGTGTTGCCAAGATACTGTCTCAGAGTGAAGAACTTGATAAGCAGCAGTTTTCTCATATGACCATAAGGGGCATGCTAACCCCAGGCAATACATCACATTGTACATATAGCATATTTCAACTAGTAATAACAGGTTGCAGTGTTATTAAGTTATCATCAAAGATGACACTAAATTAAAAATCTTCCTGAATTCATTTAAGATATGTTTTAGTGACAACTCTCAAGGGATTCACCACCCAAAAGCAATACAACACTGCATGATATCAAGACATGCAAGTGCTAAATCTCAAGCAAATCTGATAGAGTATTGTCAAAACATATACAAATTGCAACCCATAAACAAATTCCAAAATAAAAATGGCTGCCAAAGAGCAGCATTACCCTCAAAGCCTACCACATGATGCCAAAATATTTGAGCTTCAGATTAGAAGCGAAGGGCAGAGTTGTCATCTAGAAACAAATGGCAGTAAAAATAAATAAAAAAAAAGACATCTGTCTTACAGGGGCTGCACAACTATATTCTGTTTAATAAACAAGGTTGTGATCAAATTACTTTAACTTTTATGATACGATATATTGATACAAAATCTGAGCACCAAGGGCAAATCACACCCAGTATTTAATCATGTTGCACTGTGGGTCACCTTAGAAAGATAAACTTGCAAAAACAAAAATATAGTAGCAAGGCAATACTCTTAATTAACAGTTAAAGGGTGAATTGGGATGCAAGCAGCAAGATCAAGCATAGTGAAAAAGGCATTAATAAGTAGAAAAAGTGTAGGACACCTAGTAAAGTGATTGACAGTGAGCAAGGCACATACAGTTCTTCAAACAACAAATGTCTACTGCTACTATATACAGTATATGTAAATTGACTGTGTTGTAAAACAACTAGATGGACACTTGAAGGTTACTTGCAGCTACACTAAAAGTAGTGCCAGAAGTAACAAGTGTATAGTTATAGATACTACAGTGATCCAAGTAGCAGGAAACACGAGTTAAAAGGTTGTAAACATATGCAGTTCTACATACTGCTGTTCTAATGTTAAATGATACAGAAAAAGAATTTAAACCTTAAGAAATTATTTGTCTCTATGTATGTATATTAATTTTAAACAAGCATTAGATACTGTAACTGACATCTGTGCTAACGGAAAATGAAAATGTGATCCTTCGAAGATAGTCATATATCAAATAACAATTCGGCATACCTTTCTCTAGAACCTTTACCTTAGATGTTGATCCTTCTCCATGTTACACACACTTCCTGAAGATGTCAAAGAACTGGTACCTACTTTGGTAGTGTTCAAAGTATTTTCATGCACGAATTTCAAGCTGGTTAATGAGGTATTATTCTGGGAATAATTCAATTTAATCAAAAGAGAGAAATACACTTAAGCAGCATATAAACAAAAACTGGACATTATCAGTTTT